CAGTCTTTTTCCAAAAAAGTCCTGTTCCCTATTAACCAGCACTGGGTTTCACTACAGAATCCTCCAATTCTCATGTGTATCACTGTTAATATCTGTTAGTATCAGCTCTGCTGAATATCACTGTTTCTGCACAGCACATATGGAGAAGTTCATTTATCAAAGAATGTGTCCTTGCACTAGTCCAGTATTGATTTCCAGCAGGAAATGGGCTGTTTTAACTTATAGAAACTCCTTTCCCAACTGTCTCTGTTCCTTATTACGGAGTATCGACCCATTCACTTTAAAGCGCTTTTCTGTTTTCCCAACATGTATATGCAGCCATCTGTGCATGTGAATCATCTGTATCCTGTTCAGACACTGTCGCGCTAATCATTTCCCTTTTTTCTCTCTCTTTAGGTCGTCAGTGAGTCTACACAGCACCAGCAGGACATCATGTAAAGCCTATGAAACAGAATTGAGTTTCATAAAATCCCTTTTTCTAACTTAAATTTTCACCGATGGCCTCGGGCTTTTTATGCACACGCCCAGTTTTGCCATGACCCATTACCGCATGTGTGGATGACACAGACAAAAGGAAAAGTGAGCTGAAGAACAAGAGGGAGAACGAGCAAAATGGCATAATATGCATACTGTTTGGAGAGTCCTGAAAGTGGCCAGTTGATCCGAGTTTTTGTTGATATGAATGTATGTGTGCATGTGTGGTAGGGTCATATCTGAGAAGCTGTGTTCCAATGCTACAAAGACAATAAACTGCACTGTATTTTCTTCCTATAAAATCGAAGGCCTCTGTACTTTTGGATTAAACTCATACATAGTAGTAATATATGTTTTAAGTCAATTTACTACAAAAGACAAATAAAATGCACCATGTTTTCCTCCAATAAAATTGAAGGCTTCTGTAATTTTGGATTAATCTCATACTACTATAGTATATAGTAAAAAAAATAATAATTTCAATTCAAGTATTTGCTACAAAACAGACAATACACTCCACTGTCTTTTACTTCTATAAAATTGAAGGCTCCTGTGATTTTGGATTCTCATGCATAATATATAGTATTTTTCAATTGAAATCAATTTCTGTGTAGACAACAACACTACCTTAAAATCTTGGCTATAAAAAAGATATTGAACATCAACATGAAGTGTTGTTGCACTTGCAAAAGATTAATGCATACTGACCGTTTGTGAATACAGTGTATTAAATAGCCTTTTGTGCAAAATAAAAATAGTAAAATAATTATGAAACAAAAAATGTAATTTCTGTAAACTGAAAATTGTAATTAATAAATTGCATAAAATGACCAGTTTCATTTATGAAAACACCCATAAAGTGTATAGTCTAAAGTTGACAAAAATGTTTGAACTAGGTGTTTGAAACCAACATGCACCTGCTAGAGATCCAAATAAATCACAACAGGGAATAAACTGACAGGTTGAATAAATCATGCGAAGAGATTTCACAGTAAAATACCACCTTCTGTCCTAATTCAGCATCCAGCTCTTTGTTCCTGAGGCGAAGGCAGTCACATATGTTCAGACTCACAACACTATAACCTTCACTCTATCACCTTACCTCACTTTATACTGACAGGTTATGAACGCATCATCATAACCTTAATGAGACTCTTTTATTAGCGTTAACTCTGACCTTTAAAAAGCCTTCTGGGCTGTGTTGTGTTTCACGCTTGCACGTCTGTTTCTGTGTCAGTGCAAGGTAGGTTTGAAAATAAAAATGAAAAGAAAGAGTAATGCTGCTGCAAGCTGGAGAAATCAAAACCTTTAACCTTTGATTAATCTTTGAATGAATCAAACGTCCCTGCAATGTTGAGACAACTGATAAAAATAAATCCAATTTTAATCTTATTAATTTTAATCTAATTAAATTTATATAATTTGGCACAAAGTACCCCAAAAATACAGACATGAACCAGCATGCAGTCTTTTATCACCAGATTTCAAAAATACACAAAAAAGGAACAATACTGTCACTGGGGCAGTATGTGGACTTCAGGGCATTCACTGCCTTTAAACCCAGGTTATCATCATTCTAAACCCTGCTTCCGGTCCTTGATTCTGATTGGTTGAGCCGTGTTCGAAGCTGTTGTAAATTAAAGCAATAAGCCGTGGTTTACAGTGAATTTATAACAGCTAAGGGGCGTTGTTCGGAACGACGCGAAGCGGAGTGCCTAAAACCCCCTTAGCTGTTATAAATTCACTGTAATCCACGGCTTCACAGGGCTTATTGCTTTTATAAAATGGTTATTCCATATACGTAGTTAGGCTTCACAAAATAAAACAGAGCAAATAAAGTGTAATGATATTAATAAAAACAGTATTCTTCCACCAAACAATGTAGTTCCTCAGAAACAGTTGCGGTTGCAACAAAGTGGCTGCCGAGCAACACACAAAGTAAACAAAGGTGTATGTTTGTGGAGTAATTTCAAAGAGTATATAAGGGCTTCTATACTATTTGGTAATTTACAACAGCTTCGAACGCGGCTCAACCAATCAGAATCAAGGACCGGAACTATCCATTTTATAATACTCTACAAACATACACATCTTTGTTTCTGTGTGTTGCTCGGCAATCACTTTGTTGCAACTCCGCGTCGTACCTAACATATATACATATCTATGCCTAACAAGGCCCCTTAGCTGTTAAAAATTCACTGTAAACCACGGCTTCTTGGGGCTTATTGCTTTATTTTAACACAGCGTGAAGGAACATTTCACACTTGTAAATTAGAAGTGGGGTTAGCACTGCTTTTTACCCGGGATAATGAAACTTTGCAGGAGTGCCAAACTTGTTCAGTGTAAAGCAATGCGATGCGGTGTTACAATGTTACGGCTTGATGCTTAGCAACAGACTTTTCACGTGTTTTTACAGTCACGGAAACACTGCACATTGCAGTTAATTTCTTACCTGTGTAATCCACCGAAAAAAGTCAATTCAGGAAAATGTTGCCTGTTCGGTCCGCACTCCGCACTAATACGAAGACGCGCAATGCTATAGCTGTTATGTAACAGATCACGTGCTGTGTTCATCCAATCACTGACTCCGCAAATATGCAAATAAGAATGTTAAAGGGATAGTTCACTCAAAAAATAATTACATACCCTCGTGTAGTTCCAAACCCGTAAGACCTTCGTTCATCTTCGAAACACAAGATATTTTTGATGAAATCTGAGAGCTTTCTGAGCCTCCATAGACAGCAACACAACTACGACGTTCAAGGCCCAGAAAGGTAGTAAGGACTTTGTTAAAATAGTCCATGTGACATCAGTGGTTCAACTGTAATTTTATGAAGCTACTAGAATACTTTGTGTGCAAAGAAAACAAAAATAACGACTTTATTCAACAATTTTTTCTCTTCCATGTCAGTCTTTGACGCACGTTCACGAGAGTATCACGACACATGCGTGTGCATTCCTCTGCTTGCAAACAAAGCACAGCACATCCGGTTCTACGTTCTACACCAACTCCTGCATCATTAACATCACACGTATGCATCATGGTACTCTTGAGAATGTGCGTCGACAAATACCAAACCCAAACTCAAATCCTGACACAGGCCAGGGTTAATCATTTCAAGTGTGAAAAGCCCTTTATGTACTAAATTGTATTTTTAGAGTACTAATATTTATCTTAAAGGTACTATATACCCTATAAAGGTAAATAAGATACAAATATGTAAGAGTAAAAAAGGTGCAAAGGGTATCTCCCCAGTGATAGCATTGTACCTTTTTTTCTAAGAATGTGGTTGTTGGTATTGTTAGTGTTGGGTTAAAGATGGGGTTCTCCCTCTAATTGAAATGACAAGAAATGTCACACAGAGATTGTGGGGCTATTAATACAACAGAGTACAAACCAGGCTGTAAGTAGGAGCATATAATCATGCTAAAACTAGCTGATAGTGTCTTCTAATCAAGAGAATCTAGACCACCACAGAAAGCGTGTATTCTGAGCACGTACTCATGAATGAAAGAGAAGCCTTACCAGTTCAGCCCCTCGGTCTGAGACTCAGTAGACATAAACTAGACCCTTTCACCTTAAAAAAAGATGAGATAGTGACCATTGCATAAAAGCAAATAAATAATTTGCTAGCTAAAACTATCCAACAGCTCATAAGATGCGAGTCAAATAAAGGACAAGTGAGTATTTCTGTATTATGAAAAACTGCAATTCGAGACATCTCGGATAATTTAAAGGAAACCACACAGCTGAAATCACATCTCTAGCTTTTTCCATCAATTTGCAAGTAAAACAATAGGATGACAACAACAATCCATTTTAATGTGATTTTTCATTTTCCTCTTTGTAAATGAATTCTACCCCTGCAGGGATATGCACATTTATTTTCAAAATGGAAAATTATGCTGTGCATCACAGAGCTGCTTGAGCATGTTTTGTCTTTATTGTTGGCGCATTCCCACCAGTAGCTAGTTCACACAATTTAATATGTTTCACCCAGTGCCTCAAAGGCATCTACCGCCACGTTCTTTGCCATCTATCTGCCAACTTATTTTTTAAACAGTGTGTTAAGAGGAAAATGGACACATACTCACATGTACTTGACTTCAGGAGCACAACATTTATGGTTATCAGTACTGTACAAATACATGCTCAAGAATAATAATAATAATAATCATAATAATAATAATGGTCAACATCAATTTAATTACATACAGAGCTCCACTTGAAGTCTTAATCTAATAAATTAGAAATAAATTATAATTACAAATAACTATCAATGGGACAATTAAAAAAACAGTTCTTCAACACACAGATGTAACCACTTAGAAAAAAAAATTATAAAATTAATCAAAGCACTAGTAATAATACAGAATTGCATGTAAGCATATTTACATTCAGACAATGTACAAAAATTTACAAGAAAGCCAATCTGTCACTTTAAAAGACACGGTCAACAGAGAGGAATTTAAGCCTTTGAGCCCTTTCAATACTTCAGAGTGAAGAAAAGATTATACTTTTGCTCAGACAGCCCTGATAAACACAGACGGGAAACTGGGTGTGAAATCACCCCGCATCCGAACATGAAGGTAAATCAGAAATTAAGACTTAACCCTGCTGCCAATCTACTGCAGACTCACAGTATGACAAATGCTTTCACACATCCATACACACTCAACACACAAAATACACATACAGACACACTCTGTCTATATATCTCTCTCTCTCCTTTTCATGCTTTCTACACACACAGAAATACACAAAATCTTTTTCTGTGAGAAGTCCACCACTTCTACTAAATCTCTTCCACCCTTCTTATGCATCTTTCTTTAAACCCTTTCAAAACTCTCTCTTGTAGGCAAGGTCAAGGACACTTAAATCACTCACACAAAACCCCTTAGTGTTCACAGTTACATCGTTAGGGCTCTTCTCGATGCCACAGCCCCTGAGATTTAACTGGGAGCCACCCAAACACCCAAAGTCTCTAGATACTAAGAGAAAAACAACTAAAAACATAAACAGAAAAACAACTAAAAACAGATTAAAGTGTACATCTACAACACAAAAGCAATGGTGGCACTTTCCCCACATGCATTGGCTAACAATAAACGCACATTTCAGTATATGCTTGTGCAATAGGCTCAGATTGAATAGAGATTGTGTTCACCATACACGATTTGACAGATTTTGTGTAGGCCCTGACACAGAGCAGATAAAGCCATTTGAAACATTATAAAATGTTACACACCTCCCTGCCCGTGCTGTAAACACAATGTTATCTGAAACATCTTTAATAGGTCAGGAGGACTGAAGTTTGAATCTGTAAACTGGATATACGAATAGTCCGTCTGGCAGAAGCCATGCATGCTTTATGACAGTTTAGTCGCATAAAAGCCAAGGCCGTATTTAGTCCCGAGTTCAGATTGAACATAATGGATCTTCTTTAAAACTTCTGCTGTGGTAATGAGACCGTTCTTCTCGGATGGATTAAAACAGCAGCCTAATTATGGGAAGATGAGCCTCGGAGGAGCAGACACACATACAACAACCATCTTCAGCAATATATAATAGAGTTAAATGCAAGAGAACAGAGCCATACTGTGGTTACGCATTGTTTCGTAGGCATACAATCCATTTGCTGCAACTTCTCTGGCATTAAAAAAAAAATCATGGGAATACAGCAAATGGATTTAGGTATGAAAGTTCCGTCAGCCATTGTGACAGCTGAAGTAATCGCATGCTCTAAGATCTGATCCGGCCACAAAGTTTTCGGTTCTCGGAATGGTTTGTGCAGTGCAATTCCTGTTCATTAAAAGTTACAGGGTCAACCTCTCACTGCGGGGCCTGTATGGGCTGTTAGGGGCACTTGGGAGCCATAGTCATAGTCCAAATCTACAACATGTGAGCCGCCAATCAACCTGCCATGAGAGTAGCCCCTCCTGTCCGTACGTCTGTCACGGAAGTTCTGGATGTAACTCTAAAAGAGAAAGCGAACGTGCAAATCAATATCTGATAAATTGAAAATATAAGCATAGGGATTTGTTTGTCAGGTTTCGCAGATCTGGTTTTCCCAGACAGACGACTGATACTTACTGGAGAAAGTACATCTCCATCGAAGCGGCGAATGGTGTTGGGTTTCCGGCGGTGGGTGGGCTCCGGAGGCTGGAGTTTGGGAGGAGGGTTTGGGGGATGAGGGTTGGTCTGAAGGGGGTGGTGGTACTTCTGTTGCTGCGGCGACTGTTTCTGTGGCTTTTTCTTCTTTTTCTTTTGGCATTCCCTTCTTTCTTCTTTTTGACGAATTCGCATTAACTGCACTCGTCTCTGCTGGTGACTGATGAAGACTTAAAAAAAACGGAATTAAGAAAGACAGATATTAATGGAAGATATTTTCTTACATGGCTTTAGCACATCAGGTCACTACTGCAAAACAGAGGTGTTATTCTACTCTGTAAAGACACGATGCAGTGTGTATTGGCTGGGTCTCTCAAACAGTGGTCCAAAGCCAAGCTGATAAACAAACCGTTGAGTGTTTTGACACATTCTGCCCTGTGCAGGGCTAAATCGACATTCTGTTCCCTGTCATTATTAAAAACAGATGGATTATTTCTGCCCATTCAGTCACTCTGTTGTGCCTCAACAGCTTCGTGGACCATCTGTCAGGGAATTCATGTAATGATCTTTCTCTCTCGCTTTCTCCCTAAGAAAACACTCCTCCCACTCTCGCCTCTATTCTTCTGCCCCTTCCTCATCGCGGCCCCCTCCCCCATTCCCGCCAAAGAAGGGCCTAGCTTGTAGTCATGGCAACCACCCCCCAGCGCAGTTCACGCCGCCTGTTCTCCCAGTGCGCACTTTAATTCTGAATATTAGCACAACGTTTTGTTTAGCCTTGCACTTGACAAGGAAAAGTAGAGTATGTATGTGTACTTTTATAAGAGAACTGCTCAAGGTGCTTCCTTTGTTTTTAACTTCCCACCAATTCTGTTCTTATTTTGGGATAAGTATTCTTGTTCTTAGTTATCAGTCATAGACCTTGGTCAAGGTAGCGCCATATTTAATTTCTGACAGGAGTGAAAACTACTAGGCTGTAAGGGATACAAGTACAGTGCGTTCAATGGATTGTACTGTTGTTTAGCAACATATCAACCGTTCAACTGACTAAACGTCTTTCCGAAAAAAAGACGTTTTAAGTAATAAAAATGACATGATTTAGGACCTTTACACAGTGTGTTCCATTGCCTATCCCTCACAGCTTTATTTTCATTTGCGTTCAATTCAATATGGCATCTAACCCAACTGAGGTCTATAGAGAGTGTGACTTCTACCCTTGGAAATTTAATGCTCGTGGTTGCTTTCTACAAGACAGTGATGAAGCAATTTAAAAATCCCCATTCATGGATTTCAGGTCAGGCCTTCCCATTGATCACTCTGAGACTATGGGAGCTTGTATGCAGGGCACAGCTGAGCCAGTCTGATCTCCACAGGATCACCACAGTAAGTAATGAACTAGGACACCCATAAATAGAAAAGCGGCAAAAACCTTATGACCTCAAAACACCCAGAATACCCAGGGGGAAGTTTCAGAAAGACACCTTGTTGTAATGAAGTCCACAGAGGGACGTCCTCTTAAAGGAATAGTTCACTCAAAAATATCAGTTCTGCGGTTGCAAACTCATATGGCTTTCTTTCTGTTGCAGAACACAAAAGAAGATATTTCGAAGAATGTTTTGGATTCTTTTGTCCATATTATGAAAATCAATGTCTGAAACTTTAAAGAACTGAAAGGGGCATACTTATGTATTCACTCATTTGAGCTTGAAAGTTTTGGACCCCACTGACTTTCATTATGTACAAAAACTGTTGAGACATTCTTCAAAATACCTTCTACAAACTCAAAAAAAAAAAAAAAGTTTGAAACAACATAAGGGTGAAAATATAGTGACAAAATATTTATTTTGGAGTGAACCATTCCTTGAAAGGATTTAATGGTGATGTTACTGTTACACCAGGGGTGTTCAATCATGCTCCTGTAGGGCCACAATCCTACAGAGTTTAGCTCCAATCCTAATTAAACACAGCTGAACCAGTTAATGAAGGACTTCAGGATTACTGGGCTTTATCCGAAATCACCCCCTATACCCTCATTCACTATTCCCTACATTACTCCACTAATGAATGAGTGAATGAAAACAAGTGATCAAATTCGGACACCGAATACATCAGAAGCGTTGTGGACACAATCTGGTGAGAATCGTGACCCTCAGAATGCATGGGTATTCTCTAATGGCTATTGGTTAAGTGCACATTGGTTGTACAATCATTATTGCAGTACACTATAAGATTGAATGAGTGCACTTAATAATGTCCACTATGGATTTGAAAACCACATTAAATGTCTGAACTTTCAAACAGCACTTTATAAAAGTATGGGGGTGATTTCTGTAAACTCTTGAGGAATGGACTAGGATTGGACACCACTTGTGTTACACTAAAGTCCAGAGTTTACTTCATTTTCTGCGTTCCACCCCATCTAGCACACAGTTGAGTGCACAGAGCCATTTAAAGTATACTTCATTGACCATGAGCATGGACGGATGAACTATCTAGTGGACCTTTGTTTTTGAGTTCTTAAAGCATTCGCACATGCGGTGTTGCCCATGGACATATAAATCTGTCTGCATGCGGATGGTGTGCGCAGACATCAACGGGCTGTGATGATGACAGAATTTGCACAGACACACACAGACTGTGTGCAAGTCATAGGCTTAAAGGGATAGTTCACTCAAAAACGAAATTTACTCACCCTCAAGTTGTTCTTACACCATGTCCTAACTGGATGCTTCACGACAATCAGATGTGAAACAGCTATGCGACATAACAAAATCAATCAAATATCACAGCCAGTCAGAAGCACGTGTGGGCAGGATCTCTCTGAAAGTGCACTGCACTCACGTAGAAATGAATACATTTATAATCAAATTTATAAATAGTAAACCTTTTCAACATTATTAAAAGTACATACTTGGTATGGACCGGTACCATCTTTTTATGGAATAAACTTGTTGAGTTCACATTTTTAACTTGCATGTTTTAATTTATTTTCAAGATCTATTCTAACTCAAATTAGACACTTTTAACATTGAATGAAGTACATGATCAATTCCTGAGATTATCATTGTCATAGTGTGTATGCCGTTTCTAAAATAGAATCCCCTGTCGCGGCTGGAACAAAAACTCAGATTAACATGGAAAAGATACCTTTTTGTGTGTCGCTGTGTCACACAAAGTCTGGTTAGGACACAGTGTAAACCTGTATGAGTTGTATCAATGTATGTTGAACACAAAAGAAGATATTTTTAGGAATGTTTGCTGTTGCTGTTAATAGTAGCCATAGCCATTGATTTCCATAGTATGGAAGAAATACTACTAAAGTCAATGGCTACCGTCAACTGTTTGGTTACCAACATTCTTCAAAATATCTTCTTTTGTGTTCAACATAATAAAGAAACTCATTCAGGTTTGGAACAACTTGAGGGTGAGTAAATGACAGAATTTTCATTTTGGGTGAACTATCTCTTTAAGCCACAACCTTGTCCCTTTCCCAACAATCACTTGCCAAACTTACCTTCTGTGTGTGAATATCCTTCAGCCGTGACCTTCCACTGAATAAGAACACCCAGCAGCGCCAGCACAGGCCAAACTCCCATGACCACCCATGTGAACCAACACACTGGGCGAGGTGGATCCACCTTCACCCTCTCATAGATATACCGCGTTAAAGCGAAGAGCTCGACAAAATAATCCACAGTCACAGTCACCACAGCTGATCCGAAGACGGCGGTGGACAGGGTGGTGAAACAGCGCTGCCACTGCAACGTGAGCACAGCAAACAGCATTCCCGAGCCCAGCAGCACACCCAGGGGAAGCCACACTGTCCTCGGGTGATAAAACTCCTCCAGAACCACCAGAGAGGCCAGGGCCACCAGTAAACCCAGGAGAAGTCCAACCATGAAAAGCCCCACGCTGCGGACCAGCATAGTGACCAAACCACACAATGTGCCAATGCCCAGGCCTATGCCCACACTGGCCTCCACACTGAGCTGAGTATCCATGACCCTCTCCTTATAGCAGAGCATGAAGATGATGATGGAACCGAACATCAGACCCGTGAGAAACATTACAGCCTTGAAGCAGCGGTACCCTACAAAAGAAGAAAGGTGGAGAGGAAAGGATAGGGGAGGAGGAGGAGGGGGTGGGAAAGAAAATGATTTTGGAAGAGATTATTCTTTTATTAGCAAATGGCATCGCAATTAAAAATATGTAGATAACGATGATAAGCTCTGAACATTTGTATTCAATATGGATAAGTCTAACAGCCTATCACACATGCAGCAGAAATAAATGGGACTGTCACCTTTTGACCTGCATGTCAATATTCATGCCAATTTTAAGCTACAGGTGAAAAATTACATTCAAAATACACACTGAAACAATCTTTTAGGAAAAGAAATACTACTATTGCATAATAATTTACTTTTATAATACTTTATGTAATTTACTGCTATATTCATATTATTTGATTTTTTAATGAATATTGTACAACCAAGATATTTTTCATGTTTTAATGTATACAGCATACAAGTTCTGTTGTGCAGGACCTTATTTGACAAAAAATAAAAAGTTAATTGTTATATTTTCATTTAATTACATTTTAAAAGTATTCTATTCAAGTAAACTATTCAAGTAAATTCATTGCATTAGATTATATTCAGCTATTCAAGTAAATTAATTTCATTAGATACCATTTTTGATGATACATTTTAGTGGTCGACCGATATATCGCCAAGGCCGATATTTGGCATTTTTCAAATATCGGCATCGGCCGTTAAGTTTTTCTGTTTGGCCGATGTGATCGAGGCGGGATTTATTTTGACGGCGCTGAGAACGGCTGCAGCGCCTGAGCACACAACGCTTTAGTGCTGGGCGGTATACCGGTTCATACTGAATACCCGTGTTTATTTTTGTTATGATATGAATTTTTAAAATACCGGTGTATGTCGCTTAAACAACGTTCGGAACGCGACGCTGTTTGAAAGGGGTCCCTTTTCACGGTTGCACTGTGGTGAGGGAACAGCTGTATGTGTTACTAAGCGTGAAAGTTCCGAAACTGAAGCTGTAGAACTAATAGAACGTGATGACACAGAAGAACTCATCCACAATATCCACATTGACCGCCACAAATATCCACCGCCCCCTGCCATCAGCTC